TGGGCCAGCCCTCAGTGCTGTCCGGCCTTGTGGCCCCAATGACCAAGTGTCCTCTCCCCAGAGCGCCCCCTGCACTTTGCGGAGAAGGTGCTTCCCATCCTACACGGGCTGGGCACAGATAGCTACCTGGTGGTGAAGAAGCACCAGTCCATGGAGTCCATGCTGCTGTACCTAGGTAGGTGGTGTCCTTGGTTGGGCGGTGCCTGCAGGGCTGGGAAGCCTGGTTGGGGGGTCCCTCCATCTAGACCCGGAGCAGGATATGGTGGAGCCAGGCAGGAGAGGCTCGGGCAGCGAGTACCAAAGGGGCAGGCCTCTTCAGAGGCTGGGGCAGGACAGGGCAGTTTCCTTCATTGGGGGACCCCGCCCTGGGCGTCTGTGTCCACGGTGGGCACAGCCTGTGCCCACTCCACTCCTCCCCCAGCCAGCCACGTGGGCGAGACCAAGCATGGCATGATGAAGTTCCGAGAGGACCGCAGCCTCCTGGGCCTGGGCCTGCCCACAGGTGGCTTCCACGATCGCTACTTCATCCTCAACAGCAGCTGCCTGCGGCTCTATAAGGAGGTCCGGGTATGTGATCCTGCCGGGTCCTGCCCTGGCAGTGGGCACCTGCACCCACGCGTGCTCAGTCACCCAGGTTCCAGTGTCCCCCTGGGCGTGATGGCGGGAGCATCCCCATCGTGGGGTCTTGATATGGCATAGCACTGGTTGCGGGGAGCTGTGGACTCTCAGAGACCCTCCCGCTGTGGCTCTGGCTTTGCCCTGGGTCCCTCCCAGGCCCTGGTATCTGAATGCCGTTACATCAGGCATGTGCTGTCCCCCCGTGCCTGATCATGTCACCCACAAGAAGATGCTGTGTGGTGACAGCCCCAAGCTGTGGCCCACGCATGCCTTGTTGCTTCATAGCCACACCCACTCCCGGCCCACTCTGCCCACGCTGTCCACACGTCAGGTGTCCTCCCTGACCAGACATCATCTCCATCCCAGCGCCTCCCCCTCATCTTTTGCACATACGAGCCACATCCCGCCATGCACCACTACACACACCGTCCTAGCCCTGGGCCTCCTTCGTCCGTAACCCTGATCCTCTATCAAACAGAGCCAGAGGCCATGGAGCGGGGCCCCTGAGACCGTGAGTAGCTCTGGGTCAACTGCCAGCTGCCTTACACCGCCTGGGGGTCAAATGAGCCTGGTGGGAGCACAGGGTCACAGCCAGAGCTCCTGGCCATCTCCAGGCGTGGTTTCTCGGTCTCTACCCAGGGGCTGTGGCCTGGGCTCCTGCCCTTCTCATCACCAGCTCTGTACCAGAGTCCTTCGCCAGGGTTCCCCATCAGTGCTTTTGAATTCTCCAAAGGACTCAGCTGTGAAGCCAGTTAGTGGAGGCCCGTCGGAACCACTCTCTTTCCAACCCTGGAGAGAGTTCCAGTGCTGTTAGAACATCATTGTTTTTCCTTATCCTAAAACATGAGAGCAGGACTACAGAAGCTTGTGGTATATTCCCCACTGGTAGCTGGTTGCCAGCCTTTGTTTACACACCCTGAGAGAGGGAAGCTCAACCTCTCCTCCCTGGGGGCTGCCCTGTCTCTAGAATGATACGCCTGTCTGGGAGAAAGCCCAGACTCAGGTTCAGCTGAGACCTGCCTCCCATAATACCCCTGTGGATCCCAGCTGTGACTTGGGCACCACAGAGTCCAGGTGCTCTGTGGAGACAGTCAGCAGAAACATGTTTCTAAGCCCAGGGGTCCAGCCTGAGCTCCTACCAGTGTCCCCTGCCCTTCTTGCTTCTTGTGTCTCCTGAGGACATCTGAAGAGGCCTGGCTGCCATGGAGGGAGCAGAGCAGATAGAGCAGGGCCCTCACCTCCCTCACTTTGCACACTATATTTCTATTAATGCAGCCTGGGCTCTTGCTGACCCTTGTGGAGAATGCCTCTTCTTTGCCTCCCTGTGTCATTGTCATCACATCCTTACTTCTGGGCCTTACCCCTCTAGTCAGTCCACCTTGGTTCTGGAATACCTTTTTTGCTGGCTCCCTCCCTCTAGGGACTGTTTGTGTGTGGACAGAGAGAAGGGAGGATGGCTGAGGCACCTGAAACATCATCAGCGTCTGCTGATCCCTTGATGTAGAGGAGAGAAGGCAGGAGAACTAGAAAGAGGAAGTAGATCTAATGTTTATGGAACCAGGCTTTGTGTCCGGCCTTTCACGTACTGGGGCATGTAATCTCCCTGCTGTCATGTAGGGAGGGGTATTGTCCCCACTTCACAGGGAGAAAGCAGGCTTCTAGTGCCTTGTCCAAGGCCGTCTCTAGGCGGTAGACTGGGTTTCGAATCCAGATTTGTAAGCCTCAGAGCTCCAGCTTTTTACTCCCTGAAATATAGGGGAGAAGGCCTCGGCAGCAAGGGCTGGTCAGTGTAGGCCTTGGTGGTGCTCTCCCGGGGCAGCCAGCACCAGTCTCATAGGAGCCAGTGAGCTGTTTGTAATCCTGGTATTTGCTAGTGTGTGGGGCAATAGGACAGAAGACTTGAATTTGGAACAGCCCCTGGCAGTTCAGGATAGGTGAAGACCCAAGCCTCTCCTGTTGTTAAAGACCCTGAGGCACCTGGAAAGGCACATTCTAGAAAGATCTAGGTTCTAGCAGAGGTCTTTGAGCTTTGTTCCCTGTCACTGACCTTATACCTTGGAAATGCTGGAAAGATGACCTGCTTGATCAGAAGATAACATTGACTGATGCGCCCCTTGCCCCCCAAAGCCCACTCAACCTCCCTGTCTTGGCCACGCTCATGTCACACCTGCCACATGTACACCACGCGCACCAGCACCTGAGGCTTGAGGATGGTTTTTTCTGATTCTCACAGAGCCACACCCTGGCTTGAACGCCTTCATTCCCAGTTTTCTCTTTGCCCTGCTCTGCCCACTCTTGGTTCACTTTACTCCTTCCTTTTAGCTCTCTTCCCTTCACACCCACAGCCTGACTTTTCCTAGCCCGCTGCCTGCTTTTCATTCCCCAGCCTGTTTCCTTCTGTACCTGCAGCCCAGTTTCCCCCATGTCCTTTATCCTAACATGCCCAGAGCCAGATGTTTTCCATGCCTTCAGCCTAAGTTCTTTTAGGACCTCTGTCTCAGTCTTTCCATTCCTGTTGCCTAGTTTCTTCCAGCCTCAGTCTGATTTCTTGAGGCTCAAGTGCTCTCAGCCTTGTGTCTTCCCTGCTTGCACATAGGCATCTTCTCTTGTGTTCTTCCCACACCTTGTCCTCTCATATCCGCAGCCTGATTTGCCTTCCCTCCACCCAGTTCAGTTTCCTCCCTGCCTGCAGCCCAGCTTGTTCCTGGCCCTCTTGGGCACCATTGTCCTGCTATATGCAGGAAATATAGGGCTCCCCCTCCAGAGGCTTGGTCATTAGGGGGGCTGGGGGTGAAAGCAGGGTGAAGGTTCCTAATAAGCCCCTCCTAAACCACACCCGTGTGATCGCGCCGAAGTCTTCACTATCCCTAGTCAGCTCATCCTATTGAGATCTCACAAGGAAGTCCACTAATTCCCAAAACTCTCCATCTCCCCGCCCGTCCCCTAGGTCCCCTCTTTTTGTTCCTGCTGAGGAGCCGTGCCTGGGGGTGGCTGGGAGCAATGGTGGGGAACAGAGTAGAGATGGCCCAAATTTGACCCCCAGTTTCGGTTGTAAGTGAGTCCCCCTTCCCCTGCCATCCACCCTGGTGTCCCTGCTGGTACCAGGGTTGCCTGGTGGGGGCAGGGCTTCGAGCAAGTGGCTCCCAGAGCAGGAGGAAGGCTCATCAGCTTGACCTCTAACTAACTTCTTCCCTGGAGGTCATTGCTCCCACTCCCCTGCCTCTGAGCCAGCCTGCTCCTTCCAAGCCCAGACCCATATGCAGAGGTGGGGACCAGAGGTGAGCATGTTAGTGATCTGGTGCCCCTCCTCAGTACATTGGTCTGCTGCTTTCTTACCTAGACCATTGGGAAGTTCTTCCTGTGGTCTACCAAATGGCTATTCTGCTTCAGCTTAAGTCATTAGCCTTCACTTTGTGGAATCAAAGAATCAGTAACTGCTCACCCCATGAGCCTTCTGTTCACACAGTCAACCCTGGAGCCTCCGCAGGGCAGGGAGGGGTGAGGAATAAACGACCTGAGACAGACGGACACAAGCAGCCGTCCGTGGTGCTCAGCTCATACAAGCTCATTTAATTCAGTGCCAGAGGGTGATGTGCAGCGTGCAGATGTGTCCCTCCGCAGTCGAGCTGGATCAGCTGATGCTGCGAGTCAGTTCTCATCTGCAGGGCAGCAGGGAGGGACTGGGAGTCACTGCCGTGGACATCCAGCTGCCCCGGGGACTGAGGGTTGACTGTCTGATGCTGCTGCAGGGAGAGAGGCCTGGGGGCTCTGTTGGGCTGGATTGTGATCAGGGAGGGCTTTGTCAGGAAGGCTTCCCAGAGGAGGGCCCCTGTGCTGGGATATGGAGGGGCTGGGAGAAGGGGGAGGGAGGCACCCAGTTGGGAGACCAGCCCCAGTGCCCACCCCGACTGGCTGAAGTGCCTGCCCCCTCTGCCCTCCCCCTCCCAGAGTCACCGGCCTGAGAAGGAGTGGCCTGTCAGGAGTCTCAAGGTCTACTTGGGAGTGAAGAAGAAACTCCGGCCACCCACCTGGTGAGCTGGGGAAGTGGGTCTGTGGGGCTCAGAACCGACAGGGGAGACATGGCTGGGGGCTGTGAACTTGACAGGAGTTGGTTCAGTAGTTCTGAAGGTGTGGTCTCCCAGACCAGCAGCATCAGCATCACCTGGAAACATGTCAGAAACCCAAATTCTCGGGAACCGCCCCAGCCATGCTGAATTATGGATTTTCGGGGTGGGGGCAGCAGTCTGGGCTGTCACAAGCCATCTTGGGAACTCTGATGCTTGCTCATGTCTAAGAACCATTGGCCTGGACGGAAATCCAGTTAGTCACTGAGTAACTCTGGGACCTCTGTGCGCCTCACTTCCCACATCTGTAGAGAGGGAAAAATAATGGCACGCCTGTTCCAGAAGTTGATTGTGGTTCTTCTTTTTTTAAAATTGAAATACAGTTGAGATGGTTGTATGTTTTAAAAGTTGAAACGCGATGCACAGCCACTCCCGTTGTTATTAGTTGCAGTCACTCGACTTGGGTTTCTGGCATTCTCCTCTTAGCCCCTGGTTGTGCCTGCTTGTCTCTGGGGCATAGGGCTCGGGGGTAGGGAGCCAAGTCTCTGGGAGGCTAGCGGGAGGGGCCCGTGAGAGGAGGAGACAGAGGCTGGGATGTGCTGTGCCTGCCGAAGGCCCTGAACTCTGCCCCCAGCACTGGTCCAGGCTGCTGGGCTGTGAGGCCTCTCTGGGTGGTTGAGTGACTGCACCTGCTCCTTCTCTGCAGCTGGGGCTTCACGGTGATACACGAGACGGAGAAACATGAGAAGCAGCAGTGGTGAGCATGGGCCCCAGGCTGAGGGGTGGTAGCGCGCTCCCCTGGACTGGGTCCCCTCACTGTCCAGGTCTGGGCGCCGCCCCTGAGACCCTGGGCAGGGGAGCAGGGTAGGGTGTCCCTGCTCAGCTGGCCCGGCCCTGACGGTGTCCAGATCTGTGACCCACCCTGCAGGTACCTGTGCTGTGAGACACAGATGGAGCTCCGGGAGTGGTTCGCCACCTTCCTCTTCGTGCAGGTACCAGGCACGGGGTGCAGGGCGTGGGGTGGGGTCCTAGAAGGCCTCCGTTACAGAGCATGTGTGTGTGTGCACTTCTTCGCTGTTCAGGCCACCAATTGCTTCAGGATTTTGAATTGCTTTTAAGGCATTTGTATGTTCGTTCTCTCATAAACCCTTCCTGGCACCTACTGTGGTCCAGCCTGGAGCCAGGCATGCTAGAGACAGAGGGTGGAGGCCCCTGCCCTCGGGCACTCACTCCCCACATGGAAAGGAAAACAGATCCAGAAGGGGCCTGTTAGAGCCTAGCGCTTGGGTAACAGAGGGAAGCCAGGGACGCTGCTCATGAAGGTGGTGGCGGGGTGGGGAAGGCCGCAGGGAGAGGCTATCATGGAAGTGGAACCTTTGGGGATCAGGGCGTGGTCCCCAAGCAGAGGTAGGGGCAGGGGGGATTCTAGGCCAAGGAAACAGTGGGCTCACAGGCGTGGCAGGACTGTCCGAGAGGGCATAAAGGTAGAAGCCTAGGAGTGCTAGACCTTGGTACTGAAAAGGGAGCTGGGAGTAAAATCTCAGTCTTGAAGGCCACACCAAGGAAGCTGAACTTGTCAGTCGGCAGTTCTAAGGGGGACTTTTTAAGCAAGAGTGATGGGCAGGGTTGCATCTGAGAGGGTTCATTCTGGGTGCATCTTGTAGGGAAGGATGGACCGAGGGCTGAGCCTACAGGTGAGGTGGCTGCTGCAAGGGGCTAGGTGGGAGCGGGTTGGAGAGGACTTGAAGCCAGAACAGGGCTAGAGGGGTGGGCTGGACTTAAAACAGGTGTGTTTTTGGGTTTTTTTTGGCCTCACGGCATGTGGGATCTTAGTTCCCTAACCAGGGATCAGACCCTACATTGGGAGTGCAGAGTCGCTGGACCACCAGGGAAGTCCCCAAACAGGTTTTTTAAATGAGAACTCAGAATCGTTTGGGGGAAAGGGAGACAAGACTGTACCAGGGCCTCAGGTTGAGCTCTTGTAGCCCTGAGCTTCCTGGTAGTCAGCGTCTAAAGGGGATCAGAGTGGATTCTGTAGTTTTCTGGGTTTCTGGTGAAAGGAAGTGGACTTGTTCCTGTAGAACTGTTTTCTTGGCGCTGCATTCTTGGAGTGGTTTGTTTGTGGACCTGGAAATGAGAGTTGTTGAGTAACATAATTGGCTGGACTTTGCCGGGGATACAGTCATGTTCTCCTAACAGCTGCTTCTCATATCGGCTCAGATCAAAGCTGAGGGTTTCACCTCAGGTCATAGCCGAGGCATTTCTGGGAAGGGTGGGTGGATCCAGAGCCGAATGTCTGGGCCCAGCGGAAGCCGAGCCCAGGCCCAGCGCCCCTCCTCTCCCCTGCCGCCCAGCACGATGGCCTGGTGTGGCCCTCGGAACCCTCACGCGTGTCCCGGGCGGCGCCTGAGGTCCGGCTGGGCAGCATTTCGCTGATCCCCCTGCGAGGCAGTGAGAACGAGATCCGCCGGAGTGTGGCCGCCTTTTCTGCGGACCCCCTCTCTGTGAGTGGCTCTCCATCCCTGTGTACAGGTGTCTGGGGACCTGGCCAGCGCCCACCTTCTCCCTGACTTACCTTTGTTCCTCCTCTCTAGTGCCCTCTGGCCCCATCTGTCCGTCCTCAGTGGGAGCCCCCACAGGCCCCTTGGGTTCACCTGGTTCACGGGAGCCCCCTCTATTGCTGGCCCCTGCCCCCTACTCCCTGTGAGTCTTCACAACTGTGCTCATGGAATCTGGGCTTCTCTGCCTTTCCACAGCTTCTCCGAAACGTCTGAGCCCTGTTGGGACTCTGCCACGCCGTCACCACAGTGAAGCCTTTCCTGGGCAGATGCCCTCATGCCCTGCGTGCCTGGCGTGAGCCAGCAGGGAGCGCCTGAGGAAGCCGCATCCACACGCCCCTCATCCTGACTGCAGCCTGGGGTTCCCTGGCCAGGACATGGGGGGGCAGGCAGCAGGGTCTGCCTGAGGAGGAATCCCTTACCTGCTCTGTCCAGGTGCTCAGCCCTCCTGGCCTGCTCCCCCGCAGGGTCACCCACCCTGAGTTTGGAGGGGTTGGAAAGATGGGCGTCTGTCAGGAACCCTGGCAGGCTGCCATCCTTTCAGAGGCTCGAGGCCCCAAGGCCCCCGCTGGAAGGGAGCCCACCCTTTGGCCACAAACTCCAGAACAGCCGAAAGCGGATGCTTTGAAGGAACACTCAGCTGGGGTGGGGAGGGAGCTCTGGGTAAATGTGTACAGGGCCGAGAACTGGACTCGGGGGACTTCAGCCCCCCTTCTGCTCTGGGCTTACTGGGAGGGCCCAGGCTGCCCGGTGCCCCTTCCCCACTTTGGGGACCTTTTGATAATATAAATATATCTGTATATTTTATCCCCTGGTGCTGAGGTCTGTAATCGGTTGGGGGTTTCCGGTAAGAGGGGCCAGGAGGTCCAGAGGTGAATGCTTTGTGCCCTGAAGCTGGGGACCTGGCCCTGCTCCCTGCAGGCCCTCCCCTGTTCAGACACTCCCCGCCTGCCCCAGGCAGAGCCCTGGCCGGGCTCCAGGCCGTCCTCGTCGTACTCCTGTGCAGCCAGGTGGGAATTGCGGGTCCTGACTCTGGCCAGGACAGACCCTGGCTGGGCTCTCCCTGCTGTCATCTGATTCCGAGCCAGGGGCTGGGTGTGTGGCACATGAGTGACTCAGGGTAGCTTGTCAGCCCCTCTGAAGACACAAGGTCACAGAGGCACCAGAGCTATATTAGGAAGAAGGGCCTCAGGTTACCCTGGGCTTCTGTGCATACCCTTCCAGAGGTACCCTGCCTTGGACAAGAAACTGCCTTCACTGGGCACTGCCTGGCCATCTCCTCCAAGAAGACAAGCCCCTGGCAAGTGGGGGGCAGAGATGAATTTGGGACTCCCTGGGAAGGTGCCAGACACCACATTCCTGCCTCTGCCTAAGGCCTCATTACCAGCCTCTCTCCGGGGACCAGTGGTCAGACTGGCTGACCTCCCAGCCTAAGCCACTGAGGCTGGGCAAAGTGGGTAGGGGTGGGTCGATCACATGACTTCTGATCTGGTTCAGTGGGGAGGCCTGGGTATGGATGGGGGTCTTGGGGACCTGGACTCCAGGCTTCTTGTTCCTGTCTCTTGGGAAGGGAAAGTGGATGCCAGACTGGAATAGGTTCTCTGGCAACTTTTGTCCTGCCCTAGGTGGGCTGCTCCAGACCAAGCTGGCCATCCTACCTGCAGCTAAGATAAGACCCTTTTCCAAATGCTTGGGGGCTGGAATTCTTCCCTGGATCTGACCTTGGACTGACCAGCTAGCCCTGTGGCCCAGAGAAAGGGTGTGTGAGACTGGAGGCACTCCCCTGCTAGACTGCCAAGTGTCATTTATTTACCTCAACTCACGGACGGACAGGCTGCAGTGACTGCACTGGGCCACCAGAGGGCAGCCATGGACAACTCAACACTGCTGGTCCCAGAACAGGTTCTGGAAGCCCACCTTGTGGCCGTCCTCTGTTGGAGTGTCTGGTGGAACCTGGCCCTGCCTTTGACTATAGGGCTGGTGATATCCTGGAAGGCAGCACAATGGAGGAAGTGCTTTGGACTCCCAGGCTTTTGGAGTCCGAAGGAGGGAGGAAAGGCCTTTGTGGGTCAATGCCTATGTAAATGCCTATGTAGGCGCTATCTCCTGGCAGAGGAAGAAAGGCCCAGAGAAGGGAAGCGACTTGTGCAAGGTCATACAGCTCTCCTGAATCGGGGTTGCAATTCATTTCTACCGCCTCATTTTGAGAGGTTCTCCTTCCTCCACTCCTGATTCTGATTCTGCTGCCTCCTCTCATAAGTGGCCCCATTTGTCTCATGGGGAAGGGGATCTGAACTGTGTAGAGTTAATGATAGCTTAAAGTGCTTTTCCTGGGGATCAGGAATGACATCCCAATAGGAACCTTCAGGGCCTCAACTTAATGAAACATGGCAAAGACCGCAGTGCTGGGTGGATTAGGGCAGGAGGCTCTGCTGGTCTTTGTCACAAAGATTTCTTGAAATGGGGCATCTTGGGACCTTGGATGGTTTGTTCACATATTCGTTGAAGTTGGATTGAGAGGGATGAATATAAGGAACCTGGAGCCAGACCTGCTGAGGTGTGGGCAGCAGCTCTTGGAGAGGGAGGATGCTTCCTGGAGGAGGAGGTGCCCTTAAGTTGGCATTGAAGACCGGAAGCCTTGCCAGGTACACATAGTGAGGGGGTGCAAGTTGGGATGGGGGAGGGGTCAGGCCTTTGGGGTCAACCCAAGTCTGGGCCTAATGGCAGGAAACCATGGGGAGCCCTGGGAGAGAAGGCTGTGGCATTCTTCCGGGTGTCAGATCTCCGGGGTGAAGGCATTGTGGATGGAGAGGAGGCTGGGCTGGGAGGTGGGGTGGGGTGTTTCTCTCTCTTCTGCCTCCTTCCTGCTCAGCCTGCCCACCCTGCAAAGTGTTCAGCAGCCATCCAGCTGTCAAGGGCCTCCAGGCCTCAGGAGACCCCTGGGCTCCACAAAAAAAATCAATGGGGTGGGGGAGGGGAAGGTGGGCTCTGCCTCCTCCTCGCTTCCCCCTGAGCCCAGGGATTAGAAGTGGGGTCTAGAGCTGAGGCCTTCTTTCCTGGCCCCATGCTCTTGTGGCTCCCAACCCTCTACCCACAACTGGTGGTTTTGAAAAGCATGGGTGTAGGACTTCCCTGGTAGTCCAGTGGCTTAGACCTCGCACTCAATACAGGGGGCCTGGGTTCGATCCCTGATCAGGGAACTAGATCCCACATGCCACAACTAAGACCTGGCACAGCCAGATAAATAATAATAAAAGCAGGAGTGGATGCCAGCTGGGCAGATGCCAACACTCCCGTCTACACGCTAGTTTTGGCTGAGTTCCCAAGGTCTTGGGTCCTCAGTGTTCTCTTCTGTACTTTGGAGATATTAATAGCACCCACTAGGGGGAAGGCTAAATGAGCTAATAAGTGTGAAGTCCCTAGCGCTGTCCCTCAATAATCCCCTCCCAGATATATCTGGAGAGACATCATGGCACCCAGAGTCCTTACAGGAGCAGCATGTTTTCATTCCACAAGCTTTTCTTGAACACTTACTGTGCATGCAGGGCTTCACAGAACACCAAAAAGCTGGAGCAGGTGAACAGGTGGGGTGGGGGAAGGAAGAGCTCTTCTGGTTGGGGGAAACTGATCAGCAAAGACTCCGAGGAGGAGGTGAGCTTGGAAGGACAAGTACTGTTTCTGCAGGTGGAGTTGAGAGGGAGATATTTCTGGGAGAGGGATTGGCGTGCGCCACAGGCAAGGTGATGTGGCCCTGCAGTGAGCCATCTGTTCTGATTGGAGCCTAGTGCACCATGGGCACTCAGGGACCTGTCCCCCTGGCCTCTGGTGTTGGGGTCTTCCCCAACCAGTTTCCCTTCACTCTGTGATCTAAGTGGCCCAGTCTTTGATCTGAGGAGAGTCTGTATCTCGTACTCATAAGTATAGCTGGCATGAACCTCCCAACCTCTCCTCCAGTGTGACACCTTCAGGAAGCTCTTCTGGATTGCTCTTCCATCATATTGCACTGTGCGTACTTAGAGTGTGTGTGTGTGCACCCAGACTGCTTGAATCCAGCTAGAGATTGGCCAGGGAAGAGCTGTCAGGGACAGGGTTTCCTGGTCAGACCAGGCTGGTTCAACTCTAGGATGTTCCCCTCTCCCACGCCTCTTTCAGCCTGTGGAAATTTCCTCATTTTCTCTGCCCTGGTTATAGCTCCTACTGCTGTATTTATCACCCTGGAGACACAGTGGCACAGGCACACACAGTGCTTGCACACCTCCTCCTGAACTTCCACACACACACAGACTGCACGTGTGTGAACACCCCCACACACAAAGCTCTCTAGGAAAACTGCCCCCCTCCCTCCTGCCCTTCCTCCTCCTCCACTCTGTCCTCCCACCACCACCCACCTCAAAACCCTGAGACCAAGGAGATGGGCTGGATGGTGCCTCCCACCACTTGTCAGCTTGGGAGGCAGTTCCCCCTTCGTGACTGCAGTGTGTTCTTCCCCACCACCCCACCCTTCCCCTATGTCTCCCGGCTCTCCCTACCTTCCCCCATCTCTGCCATTCCTTTGTATGTCTTCCTCCACTCAGTCAGTCAGAGTCCCTCTCTGTCACTCCTCTGACCCTCTGAGGTGGAAGGTGGTCTTCCTCCCTGCCCTCCGTCCTGAGTGGCTTGTGGCACTGATGGAGATGGAGGGCCAGGCCTGCAGGCCCCAGGGCCTAAGCTGCCTCCGCTCCTGTCACTTCCAGTTCCTCCTCCTGTGTGAAGGGAGGATTGTGTGCCTAGCACCATGGAGACCAGCGTCATGGCAACACAGCCCAGGTGGGCGCAGCCTTCCTCCTCCAGGGTCCTGCGGAGACCCCCGGAGGAACTGCCAAGAGGCCCCAAGGAGGTGGGCCTTGGACTGGTGCCCAGTGCTGGCTACCAAGCCCGCCTCCAGCTCACACCACCCCCAGATCACCAGCATCCTGACCAACTCTACTTGCACTGCAGCTTCCAGTGCCACAAGCCACTAATCCCAGTGGAGGAAAGTCTTTTTGCAAATATGAACTCCAGAGCCTGGGATCCTGTGGGCTCATTTATAGACTAAGGGCCAGAGAAGGCAGGGGCTTGCCCAAGGGCACACAGCTCATCCAGCCAAGCTCCTGTCTCAGATCTCAGTTCTCTCTGGCCTCCCACCTTCCACTCAGGTCAGCTGTTACTGGGGCAAAAGGGTCATTTCAGTCACCTGGGAGGTCTCTAGCCAGTCCTCAGCATCGGCAGTAGTAATGATGTAAATAGTGATGCTGATAAGCCTTTATGAAGCACCCACCACCTCCTGGGCTAAGGGTTTGCATGTCATTTTATGTAATCCTTGTAACTAACCATATGGAAAAGATACCTCTTGTTCTTATTTTATTGGTGAAGAAACTGAGGCATAGACTTACCAGTGTCAGGTGACTGGTGAGTGGTAGGGCTGGGACAGGAACACAGGTCCTCTCCAGCTGGTGCGGATGAGCCAAGGCTTCATGCCTTGTGCCCTCCCCAGCAGACACTCTTTTCTAAATCAGTGACAAGCTGTGTTTTCAGTTCTGTCTTTCCTTCTGGAAAGAGTTCCTGGGGGAAGATGTAGAGTTTAGTCTAGGTCAGGCCTTAGGGTCTCCACAAGTCAGGAGGCTTCTTTGTTCAGGTGATGGAGAGGGAACAGAGCCTTCCTCTCATGCCCTAGAGAAAAACCTCTCTTGCAATCCAGAAATGCATAAACTAGCTTGCAGTCTCCAGGTCCTTTTAGAGTCCTGTCTAAACCCAGCTTGGAACCTCAGGATGCAGGAAGGAGACCCTGCCTCCTGGGCCCAGACTTAACTTCTCTCCCGACCTTGATGGAGTCACGTTGCAGCTGCTTCCCTCTTAGCTTATGTAATCATTCAAATATAGCAGCTGCCTTTATCCCACTGAGTCACACCCCCTCCTCCCCCCCCACCCCCACTCAGGTGCAGGGAGTTAAGGGAAAAGAGTTAGATCAGGGCTGAGTGGGTGGCTCAGGGCCTCCTGGCAAGGACAGTCCTAGTGTGTTGGGTTGGAGGGTGGTGGAGGTGAGGGAGCTGGGCCAGGGCCCCAGCAGTTCCAGAGTTTGAAGCCACAATCATTTCTGCTCTGACCTGTCTGCTGAAATGACGTGTTCCTGGGGATCCCTTCCCAGGGTTATAACCTGTTTCTGCAGACTTCCCTCCCAGCCCTCAATTTGGCTGAAAGGGAGAGGAGGAGGAGGGGAGGAGGAAGATTACAAGAGGAGGAGCTAGTCTGGTGGGGCAGTGACCAGGAGTCCTTGATCCTAGGACCAGCCCTGTCCTTTACTCCTTGTGACCTGGACCTGTTTCTGCCCTCCATCACCTGTTTCCCCATCTGTACAATGAGGGATTGGCCTCTGCCAGTAGCATCTTGAGCTGCCTGATCCACATCCCAGGCGGTGACCTCAGTCTTAGGCAGAAAGCACTGCCAGGTGTCTGGTTCAGCCCCATGCTAGGCTGACTTCCTGCTCTGCCTTTTCTCTGCCCACCCTAACCCTGCCCATCTTCCCTGCACCAGTTCAGCACTCCCGCCCCATCCATGGGGCGGTGTAGGTAGGAAGGTAGGATTCTGAGAGGGGCTGTCTTTCCCTTCTCTAAACTTTCTGTCTGTTCCACTGCTTTATCCCCCTGCCCAACAGACATGGGGAGCTTACTGCCCCCCTCATGAGGTCACTTCTTCCCCCATAGGGCACCGCTAGCTGCTCCTGGAACCTGAAGTAGGCCCACAATGCCTCAGCCCTTGTTCCTGCGTCCCCAAAACCACCTTCCTGAGATGTGGAAGAAGCCATTCCAGAGGCAGTGGTGGCCTTTTGTTCCTCTATGCAAAGGCCTTGTCACCCATGGTGTGGTGCGGTCTGTGCTTAACGTGACAATGCAGGGAACTATGTCAGGCTGTTGCCAAGGACATGGTGCTCCTCTCACCATTGTCCTTGGAGCCACAGGTGGCAGCTTCTGACTGAGGAAGAGAAGCAGTGTGAGATGTTCCCCCCCCCACCCCCCGCCTCCATGGGCTCCTGTTGCCAAGACCCAGATGTGGACATCCTGGCTCCCAGCCAGAGCGAGTCACCCAGGGGTTTTCAGGCCAACCCTCCGTGAAATCCGTGTTCCTCCAATTTCCAGCCTTACTCTGGAGTGAAGTGATCTGTTCCACACTCCACAGCCTCAGTCTTCCCCAGCAGGGAAGGTGGATGCCCATAGAGCCGGTCAGTAAGCACCCCCTCCAAACACATACCACCTGTGTCCCCACATCCACCTGAAGCCTCTTTGAGGCTCCAGTGTGTCCTGGACCGAGCTCTGAAGTGCCCCATCTCATTTCCACACTCTCTTTGTGTCTCCTTCCTACTTTCCTCCATCAACATTTTTCAATAGTACCTCGTGAGGCCATTCAAAGGCAGGGGCCCGGTGCCGAGGTGAAAAGGACTAGTCTGTCCTTGAGGAAGATGAGATCCAGTGGGGAAAAGAAGGTGAACCTGAGCAGGGGAATGAGATGTTGGGACAGATGGCAAGTCGGGGGTGAGTCAGCCAGGCCTGCTCTGCCCAGAATACAGTGACCCCTCCTGCCCACCTGGTCCACTGTGAGTGGGGGCTGGTGTGTGTTGAACTTGCCAAGAAAGGCTGGGCCAGGATTTTGGATGGCCAGAGAAAAGGAAGGTGAGAGAAAGGGAAGTCAACCTAGAAAGGGAGACAGACTGTACCAAATCAAGAAGGAAGAAAGGACCAGCATGTCCTTAGGGACTAGACCCTTCTCCACTTGGAGCAGGTGATGGAGGGGTCAGCCAGAGTCGATCATGAGGGCCCTCAAATGCCAGGCCGAGGAGCTTGACATTTATCCTGAAAGCACTAGGAAACCAAGCAAGCGTTTTGAGGAGGAGTCATATGACCAGCTGGATGTCTTAGAAAGTCAGTGCTAGTTGCTGGGTGAAGGTGGGATAAAGGGGTTGAGGAGGAATAAGGGGCTGGAGAATGACAAGGAATGGGGGAAGTAAGCTGGGGCTCAGAGCAAGGAGGGATAGATGGAAGAGAGGGAGAACTGACAGGCCTTCCCGACAGATTTGACGGAGGAAGTGAAGAAGAGAGAGGGAAGAGGCAAAGCAACTTTGAAGTTTCCAGACCGGGGATTAGACATTTACTGATGCCTTTGATAGAGGCAAAAGTTGTCAATATTGGATATTGAGTATTGTGAGTGTTAGGGCCCTAATGAGATGTTCCCAGATATGTTCAGTGGGTAGCCACGCTGGTGGTATAATGGTGAGCATAGCTGCTTTCCAGGAGGTAGCCTGTGCTGGACATCTGGAGCTCCAGAGTGAAGGCTGGCACTCAGGGGTTGGTGTATTGGGGTCGACTCCATGCTCCGTGGGGGTGGGGTGGAGAATGAGAGGAAACAGGGTCCAGTGCTCCAGTGAAGGTGTGAAAAATAGGAAGAACCAGTGAGTGAGACAAAGGAGAGGCCGGCTGGAAGGCAGGAGGGAAACAGCCACAGGGGAGGGGCCGGGGAGCACACAGAAGAAGCGGCCTTCTTAGGCAATGAGGAGGTAGCTGGCATCTTTGGAGCCTGCAGTCCTTCCGAGGCGGTGGGCGCGGGGCGGAGGCCGAATCCCAGAGGTTGTATCCTCCCATCGCCTTGGGCCGCCACCCGCCTCTCAGGAGCGTCCTGCTTCCCCTCACCTTCCTCCAGCCCCGCAACAAGCCCTCCCAAAAATGGTGTTTGCTGGCCCGCTACGGGCCGGAGCCTGTGAACGCGGCACGCGCCGATCAGCACCAAGGAGAAAGGCGGGGGGCGGGGCCTGATGTGGGGCGGGGCTTCGCCGTAATTGCGCTGGGTCATTGGTTCCTGCCCTGGCTGGTCTCGAAGGCCGGTTCTAGGTGGAGGGAGAAGTGCAGACCCGGACAGTCTCAGGGCTTCTCCCTTTTCCTCACTTCCCCGCCTCCCAACGCTGCCTTGCAGCAACCCCTACCCCAACATTTGGTGCTGTTACTCTCTTCGCCCCATCAATTCAACCTCTTTAGGAGAGGGAAGCAGGGGGAACTGTGTACCGGGAACTTGATGGACACTCCCCAAACCTCATAACTCTTTGAATCACTCATCATTCAGATGAGAAAACTAAAGTGAAATTCAGAGAGGTGAACTTGCCCCGGGCACATGGCTGTGCTGGGGTTTGAACTCCCGCCTGCCTGGCTCTAAGTCTTGGAGGGCCCATAGTCCTGGATCTTGCACCTCATTCCTACAGACTCGTCACTTCTGGGACAGCTGTGGAGGCTGGTGTGGCAGTAGGATGGGGAGAAGACCCTCCCTCCCACCTGACCTGCTTGAGCATAATCCCAGGAGATTTTTGAGGATGAGGACTCCACCATCGTTTTCAGAGCAAGAGAACAGAAAGAAGGCTGAGGTCCAAGTGAGGCCTCAGTGCACCTGCTCCCCTCTGGGACGCACCCTCCTTTGAACTCCTCTGACTCAGCTTCTTACCACCAGGCTCCTCAGGGCGTGAAGGAGAGCTGTGAGAGGCCAGGACTGGACATAGTCCAGGGCCTTGGCTTTCTGAGCCCAAAGAATGCCTTCCTGGCTGGCAGGTGTGGAGCAGCAAGGCCCTAGGGATGGGCCTGGCTGAGGACACAGATTGCCCACAGCTTTCAGAGATCTAAAATTCCACCTTCTGAGGCCACAATGGGAAGCAAAAACTCCCTCACATTTTCTTTCCTAACACTTCCTAAGCCACAGACAACTGCTCTCTGTAGCACTCAGCCTGGGCAAACCTCCTGCACAAGCTCGGTCATTCCTGTCCACCCCTCACTACTGTGCACCCCCATGCCTCTCAACAGGGTCAGATTTTCACTCAGTCTCGTGGATTTTTCTGCCTGGAGCTTGGTATGTGTGGCAGGAGTTACTCCCCCCAAAGCTCAGAGAGGAAGGGTTACTGGTGAGGGCTATGTATAGCTCCCCTATCTTGGAATACACCCCCTTTTCCTGGGGCCCTCTCCTGGCCTTAAAAAAACCCAGCTGAGAGATTTATCTGGTGGCCCAGTGGCTAAGACTCTGTGCTCCCAATGCAGGGGGCTTGGGTTCGATCCCCGGTCAGGGAACTAGATCCCACATGCCACAACTAAGATCAAAGATTGAAACTAAGACCTGATGCAGCCAAATAAATATTTTTTAAAAATCCAGCTGATGTCCCCCCCTTCTGGAAATGCTTGCCAACTGCTGGACTCGCTCTAGGTACAACAGACCCTCCCCTCTGTCATATGGCCAAGTACCCCCTTCCCCTTGCCTGGATGCTTCTCCAAGGCAAAGCACAATCTGAATCATATCTGATGAGATTGGCCAGTAGTAGGGGTTTGTGAATGAATGAGGAAATTAGTGGTGGAACCAGGACTTGAACCCCCATCTCTGGCCTCCAGGTGTAGAGCTTTCTTTCCAGTTTTTCACCTGACCCTCATCCCCAGATCCCATCCTGGCCCACAAGAACTGCACATGCCTAAAAATCCCTCATCCTCACACCTGTCTCTCTGGGCTCCTCTGTCAGCTACTCTCTCTGTCTCCATTTCCATCTCTGCTTTTTTCCTCCCAGTCTATGTTCCTCTGTGTGTGTGTTTCCCTATGCCTCTCTGATCTCTTTGTATTTCCATCTTGATCTCTATGAGGCTCTGATCGCTCTCTCCTTTCCTTCGTGTGTTTCTCTGTGCCTGCCTGTCTCTTTCTGTCTCTCCTTCTGTGTGTGAGTCTTTCTTTTCCTCTCTCCCAGCCAGTCTCTCTACCCCTCCCTCCTCTCCCTCTCCGTCTGGGTCTCTTGGTTCCTCCTCCCTCCTCCCTCCCCCTTCTGCATTATCAGACCTGCTCCAACCTCCTGCCAGAGCCAGCCTAGCGGCAGAGGCAGTGACAGCGGGAGAAGCGGGAACTGCCAGGGTAGCAGGGCTGGATTGGGGTGTTGAGTCCAGGCTGAGTCGGGGACAGGCCACTGTTCTTGGTCCCCGTGCCTGCTGGGCCAGGCGCCCTGCCTGGAACCCCGGGCAGGGTGGACAGGGCGAGGTGCCACTTTAGTCTGGCTGGGGAGGCAGACGATGAGGAGCGATGGGGCAGGCATGCGGCCACTCCATCCTCTGCAGGAGCCAGCAGTACCCGGCAGCGCGACCGGCTGAGCCGTGAGTACTGTTCAGGGGCTGGGGTCTGGGTGAGCGGCTGCAGGAGGTGCTGTGGACTGGGTCCTGGGAGTCCCTCGAAGGAGCTGGGGTTGGTGTAGAGCTGATCCACGTGGGAAGATCGATCCTGCTCCAGGGTGCCCGGTTGCTGGACCATAGCATGGTTGGGGGGGGGGGGGGGGTTAATCTCTGTGTAGGGCTGGGGTTCCTGACATCATTCTAGGGCGTGTTGCGGCTGGGGTCCCATAGAAGGGGCTGGTGGCTAGGGGAGGGGTTGGTGATGAACATGAACCATCCCTTCAGGGGCTGGGGGGTGGGAGAGGTCTGTGGGGAGTGCGTGTGTCAGCGGGGGAGGGGGGTGTTGAGGGTGTTGAGCTCTGGAGTCTGATAGACTGATTCAGGACCCTGGAGAGGGATGCTGTCCCAGACCAGGGTGTGTGTGTGTGTGTGTGTGTGTGTAGAAAAAGGGAACATGAATTATGAATGAGTGGGCCTGGAGCAGGAGAAGGTCTGGGGGAACTGCCCTCCATGGAATGGGGATTGGGATTCAGAGTCACCAATTTAAGCAAGTTTGTCCCCAAAGCCCCTATCCCAGAGAGAACCATGGGGCTGGTTGGAATGAGGCTCCTGTGCACCAGCCTCATGAGCACCCACGTGCAGGGAGACGCATATGCAGGTGAACAGAAGGGGCTCCGTGGAGGTGCCCCTCCATCATCTGAGGGCTGCCGAGGTAGTGGGCAAGTGACATGTGTCTCCAAGTCAGTGGTGGTGCAGGTGCAAGCCAGGCTATGTGAGGGTGTGTGTGTGTGTGTGTGTGTGTTTGTATATAAATATTGGGGTGTAAGGGAACGTGTGGGGTATCAAAGGGCATGTAGGGGTCCTTGGTGGTTGGGTATGCAGCAGGGTGTGTGAGCATCCCAGTGTGGCTCTTGAGAGTTTACGTAAGAGTATGTGTGTTGGTGTGTGTGTTTATGTGTGTCTACACTTGTCATGCTGAATTTGTCTATTGGCATGCACGTTAATATGTGTGCTGTGTCTGCAAAATAGAATGACTCAATATTGAGCATGTCATTTGATTCTATGTGTATTCATGTTTGTGTGTATACTTATTGGTGTCTGAATATTAGTGCTACTGTGTGTGTGTGTCATGTAGGTGTCTATGTGAGCATAAGTGTTCTTGTGTGGATGTGTGATCATGGTCCCAGTGTGCATGAGTGTGTATGTTGGTGCTTGTGTGGCTGGTATGTGTGTGTGTCTAAATGTGTGTGTTCATCTGAGTGTGTGTGGGTGGCTGTTTGCTTCCCTGGTGGTTGGGGATACAGCTGGGATACTGTGGCCCACCAAGGCTGGGCGGGGGTGGCTGAATGTGTGACCACCTCCATGAGCTCAGGACAATTCATTCTACACCCTGCGGGGAGATGGAGAAAACAAATAGGCAATAATGGCTCTGCTCTCTGGGGCCTCCTAAGCTTCCTAACATAAAATAGCTTGAACATAATTAAGCATTAAAGACCAAGAACAAGCTAACAGGTGGGGGTGGTGGGCATAGTATAAGCAAAGGCCCTGGGTTGGGATTGGGCATGTGCCTGGAGCCATGAGGAGGCTGGAGGGGTGGGCAGGGACCATATCCTACAGGACTTTGACCTCCAGGCCTCTTGGGCTTTATCCTAAGGCCCTTGGGGAGTGCAGGAAGGTTTTGTACAACGGGGGTATAGTCGGTTTTGGGATTTAGAAAGTTGCCTCAATGGAACTGTCAAGGTTGAACTGGAATGGAAGGGTGGGGGCCAGGAGGTCAGTGTGAAGGCTAAACCACTGTGGATATCAGGGACATCTGGGGCCAATTGGACCAAGGGGCAGATAAGACCAGGGGCTTTCTGAAGGGAGCGTTCTGGGGGCTTGGAAGAGAGGATGGGGGCAAGGGAGCATGGAAGTGGCTCAGGCTTGGGCTAGAGTTGGAGGTGCAGTGGCAGGACCTCAGAGGGTCTCCATGTGGGAAAGGAAGAGCTCTTGGAAGGTTGAGACAAGAAAGGTAGTGGAGGGACCTGGTAGGGTTTATAGCCGGGGGGCGGGGGTTGGAAATCCTGGAGCCATCTCTTCCCAGACAGAGAACGCAAGACTGTTGCTTTGACTCTTTCCTCTGGCTGCCAGGCTGGGGCTGAGCCTCGGGCCCCTTCCTCTTCAGCCTGCTCAGCACCTCTTGGTTGCCTGAGCTGGATGGCTCTGTGAGGGTTAACTGCCTTTACACTCCTGCACCTCCCATTCCCCCTGCCCACCAAGCACTCCTCCTGCCACTCTTCCTGCTTCCCACTCCAGCCTCTTGTCCCTGGGGATTACTGATGGCTTGGCTGGGATCTAGCCAAATGGGGGAGGCAGGACTCCCAGCAATACCCTCCTTCAGCCTTAATGGACTGGGAGTCTCACCCTCAGCCGTGCTGCTGTCGGGTCCGGCCTGCACTCCTCAGGCTTCTGCTGCTTCGGCCTTTCCAATCTGCCCATCGGGCGTGCTTCCATTCCTGCATTCAGTCATTCATGTCTTCATTCCTTTATTCAACAGAGATGCCCCAGTGCCTGCTTGGTGCTCAGTGGGCTGGCCTCTGAGGACGCAGAGAACACACTGCCCCAGACCTTGCTCTCAGGGAGGGCCCAGTCTGATGAGGGAGGCAGAAGTGGAAACTTACAACCCTCCAGGGAATAGTGCTGGGCAGAGAGGAGTAGTGGGAATGGAGGACCCACACCAAGTCAGGGTGGCTGAGGAAGAGACATTTGAGCTGGATCTTGAGGGATGGATAAGAATTGCCCAGGCAGGGAAGGGCAGAGAAAAAAAGCCTATAAAAGTGGGTGGATGTGAGAAAGGGCGGTGTGTTCAATGGACAGAGTTTGGATTGGCAGAAGTGAGAAGGAAGTTGAAAAGAGGAAGGGAGAGGTGGAAGGGGCCAGATTCCATCGGGTCTCAAGTGCCAGGCTAAGGGGCTTATAGAGGCTTAGACTTTTCCTCATAAAATTAGGGAGCTAGGGAAAGGCTTCTGAATAGGGGACCTCCCCTAGGTAGCCCTCCTTGGTTTCCCCCTTCCCTCTGACCCCATGACCCACCCTGAAGCCTTTCTCCCTGATGGTGCAGGATCAAGCACCATGGAACTTTCCTGGTGGTCCAGTAGCTGGGACTCCACTCTCCTGGTGTGGGGACCCTGGTTCCATCCCTGGTCGGGGAACTAGATCCTGTATGCTGCAACTAAGACCTGGCACAGCCACATGAGTACTAAATAAATATATTTTTTAAATGCAGCCCCGACTTAGCCTTCCCCTGTGATGTCCCCTGTTTGTGAGCTCCTTATCCAGCTAGCCAAGGAATTCCTCAAAGGCAGGAGCCACCTCCTTGTGCTTCTCCACCTCACTCATAGCACAGGGTTGGCACCCAGCACAATGCAGCTTCCCTGGGTGGGGGGAGGACAGAAAGAGCATCTGGGCCACTGTCTAGCATTTACTTCACTCCTCTCTACAGCTTGCCCTCAGATCTGTCCAGCTCTGCTTACATACCCCCAGGGTCAGGATGCTCATTCCTTTCCTCTGGGCAGCCCATCCCTTGTGGGCTCAGTACGCCAGGCTGCCTGGCCTTGCATCATTTCCTGATCCTGGATCACTCTCCTTTCTAAGCAGGGCCAGGCTGGCGCATGGTGGTTCAGTAGTGCTAGGAACACTCCCTGGGCAGAGAGAGGGGAGAGATTAGCAGCCTTTATTCCAACTATAGATGGTAAAACTGAGATGCAGCAGTCCCTGAGCCCTCTCCAAGAATAAAGATAAAGAAGCAGACATGGTCAGAGTAGGGAGTGAGGGTAGACAATGAGGAGAACTTCCTACCAGCACAGAGGGGCTATAGAATCACCTGGCTTCACAAGAGCAGATAGTGGGCATGAAGGGGGACGTTTCCAGGACAGGAGGGGGAGTTGGAGGCAGAGGCACAACTTAGCCGTGCTCTTCCTGCAATTGAGTGATGTCATCAGGGAGAGGGGACTGGAGGGGCTCAGACATACAGAGGAGAGGGGTCAGGATTCATTCATTCCTTCCTTCGTTCAGCAGCCATTCAATGGATTGCTGCCCAACCAAACATGGCAGCCCTGCGGGGAGAGGGACAGAGCCAGTGACCACTTGGAGGGAAGCCTGTGGTCTTTCCTACCTCTGCCAGTGTCAGACGAAGACATTTAGGAGGAGGGGCCTTGGGCTGGCCTTAAAAGGAAGAGTCACTTCTCCAGACAGAACTGAGAGAGAGCTCCAGGAAGAGGGAATGCCACATGCAAAGACCTTGAGGTGAGCGCAAACATGGTTTTGTTTATGTGAGGACTGTGAAAGTTCTAAGTGGCCTAAGCATGAAGTTCAAGGGTAGGGGGCAGAGGACTGGGCAGAGATGGAGCAGGAGAGGAGTGAGGGAATGGAAGTTAGAGGACAGGAAGCACTTTCTGCCACCAAAGGGTCCCCCAGCAGCTTTGACATGTAAGCCTGCTGCAACTTCTTGGTCTCTCCCAGTGCCCCCAGCAGGGCCTGCTGAGGGTCTCTTCTTCATTTGAGAATGGGGTGTTCTGTGAACAGAGACTCTGGAAGTGAGGGAGGAGCAGCGGCTGAAGAATGTGGGCCCCTTCCAGAAAGTGGCATGCAAATGCATGCAAAGTAATATGCAAATAAACCAGCCCAGGCTTGGCAGCTTTGGCTGGGAGACTGAGACGTCACCCCCTTCCATGCTGGCCTCCCACCCCTTCTGCCCCAGTCCCCGGGACAGCCAGAGTAGCCTGGTCTGCTGCTCTGAACACTCCAGCATGCCTGAACCACAAGACTGTGGCCTCTGGGGTGGGGGCCATGGGCTCCCTGTCAGCACCCCCATCCTCTCGAGGAAGTAGATATATTTAGTAACAGGGATGTTTTCAACACATTTATCTCCCATTGTTCAGCTGCCCGTTCCCTGGGAAAGGCCAGGTCCCCGGGGATGTGACCCACTTCTTCAAGTCCCTGAAGTCACCCTTCTCACTGCCTACCCTGAAAAACAGGGAGCAGTGGGGGCTTGGTGCACCAGAAGGGATTTAAGTTAGACAACCAGGAGGACTTCCCAACAGTGTGGTTGCTGAGATTTGAGAACCCTGGGGCTTCCAGGCTCTGACTCTTTGGATGGCTGTCTTGGGGTCAGAGGGGGCTTTGAAAACAGGATTGAGAAGGTGGCAGACAGACATAGTTTCCAGTTTCAGTAACTTTATTCTGTGTAGTCCTGGGTGACTTAACTTCTCTGAACCCCATGTGAATAATGGTGTGGGAATAACAGTACTTTCCTGGCAGGATGACTGAAGAATCTGGAAGTGGAGTGCTTAGCACCAGGCATGCAGCAGGTGCTCATAAAGGTTAGCTGCTGCCATTATGAAACACCCACACTCACCTACACTTTTAGAAAGATTCAGTGAGGGGCTGGAGGGGGAGAGACCAGAGCTAGAGAGCCCAGAAGCTGTCATCCTGTGGGTGAGACAAGGAAGTCTGAAATGGAGCCGTGGTGGTGGGAATGGTGAGAAGTGTGGATGCTCTGTGGGAGGAGCTGAGGGGCCTTACAGACATGTAACCACCTCCCTAGGCTGCTTGGTCTGGGCTGAGATTAATCCCCAGGGAAAACAATGGCGGAAAGGGCTTGATGAGGGCTTAAGTCTGTGGCCACGCCCATGACAGTCTGTGAGTCATTCTGGGAGTTGTAGTCTCAAGTGAACTTGCAGTGAGTACATTTTGTACAGCCACCTTGGATCCAAATCCAAATCCCTGCTGCTGAGGCTGGCTGGGGCAGGCCCTGGTGAATGCTGGAACATTCGAGGCCCCAAAGGTGAAGCAGCCTGCATCCCTTCCCTCAGGGATCACTCAGCCTGCTGAGTGTTGGCAGGTGCAGGGGGCAGGGATAAAAGGATTAAGCCATAATTATGACTCTTCACACGTTCACAGAGAAATTTACAGTTTCCAGAGCACTGTTTTCACATCTATGATCTCATTTAATCCTCACCACAAACCCAAGAGACTGCTGTCTTCTAGATGAAGAGACAGAGGATCTGAGAGGGGAAATAACTGGCCCAGAGGTATTCAGCTAATTCCTAGAGCACAGATCTGTCATTGTTGTCCAGTTGCTAAGTCGTGTACAACTGTTTGTTTGTGACCCCTTGGACTGCAGCACCAGGCTTCCCTGTCCTCCACTATGTCCCAGAGTTTGCTCAAGTTCATGTCCATTGAGTTGGTGATGCACAGGTCTGTCTGCCCCTAAAGCTCCTGCCCTTTCCATGAATTATTGTCCCAGATGGCAAAGGCCAGACTTCAAAGGACAGACAAGATATGGACATCTCAGCAGAGGAACAAGCTGAGCAAAGACCTGGCTCAAAGGTGAGAAGGCCAGGGTTGGGCTCCTTGGGATATGAGACTAAGAGATGGACTGGTCAACCCCAGAGGCTTAGCTCCAGACTGAGTTTGGACTTCTTGCTATGGCTCACCAGGATTTACCCAAGGGTTCTGAGCAGAGGCAGGAACAGATTAGAGCTGGTCTTGGGGAGGCTTGGACCGGTTGGATGGAGGTGGAGAAACCCGAGATGGCCTGAAGCTTCCGAACTCCACTCCTGGTGCTCCCAGAATTTTGTTCCTCTTCCTCTGATACGCTTCTCCTCAACCTCTCCTTCCTCCTCCCCCGCCCACCTGCCCCCCACTTCCTCTTCTTCCCCTCCCTTCTAACTGTTGCCCTCCACCACAGCCTGGGGAGTGATGACCAGGTTATCTTAGAGCTGTGCTGTAATGCCACATATCTCCAGCAGGGGTGCTATCACATAAATTCATTCTAGCCTGGGTCTTCAAGTTTGAAGGATAAGGAGTAGAGATGAAGGGTAGGGAGGGGAGAACCCATTGTTCTCCACTCGCTGTGCTGGAAACTGAGAGGGCCCTGCTGAAATAACCTAGGGAGATAGGGAGGCTGAAGAGAGGCTGGACCCCTCGCAACAGGGAGAGACACACTGGAGGGGTTGAGCCTGGAGGCAAGAAATTTGTTCCTCACAGTTCTGGGGCAGGTTTAGATTTGGAAATGGATTTAGATTGAAGTTATAGATAGTGTCTGGATTTCTACTGGATGGCGATTTCTCTGATACTGAGGTGAGGGTGAGGTTGGTTGATTTCTTTGTGTTTCTGTGTGTGTTAATGTGACCTCCCAGTTGTATGTGTGTATATATGGCTCTGAGAAAGTGAAGGCATTTGGATCAGTGTTTGTATAGAAGTGTGGGCATATTTATATGTGTGAACATGTGACTGTCCATTCTTATGCCCAATTTATTGTTAGATGGTTATATGCGTGCTTGTGTGTGTGTGTGCCTGTGTATAGAGTGTTATGTACGTTGTTCTGATAAAACTGTGTGTAGATGTCTTATGTCTGTGTATGTGAGTATCCATGTCAGAGCAGGAGAGCACAGATGAGTGGGTATGTGTGAAGGCTTGAATACCTGCTCTTCTGACAGCAAGGCCACACCCAAAGTATAGCTGCTGCTGCTAAGTCACTTCAGTCGTGTCCGACTCTGTGCAACAACACTTTGTCTCCTGGGTACCACCTGTCTAAAGAAAGAGAAAAATGTGTGCAGACTGAGGCTGAATGGGCTAAGACCCACATGTGTGGGACTGGGCTTCCCTTTGGGGACTCTGGCCTGCTCCTAGTCAGTGAAGGCCCTGGAAGGAGCAGATTGTCTCTATATTCAGACTCAGGTAGGGTCAGCCAGGATACTGAGCCATCATATTGAAATGCTGGACATAGCTGAGAGGTGTCTAGCTTCCATTCTCCTGGGAAATCTTAATGGCCACACCTGTGCCCTATTAGAAAGTTTCAGGAACTCTCAGCTCAGTCTTCTCATTAAATAAATGCAAATATTGAAGCCCAGAGAGAGGTTAGTGATTAATCCAAGATTACACTGCAGGATCCAGGGAAGGGTATCAGGGCTTGGAGCAGAGAGAGGGGTTATGTCTGGCCTGGGAGACCTCCTTCCCTCTAGCCTGGAGCAGGAGAAGAGCTCAGGGTAGAGTCAAGTCTGTGGCAGGAGGCCACCCCTGTACCTGGGCATTTCCACCCCTCCCAGGCCTCAGATGCTGCCTCTGAAGATTCTACCAGAGCTTCTGCCCGCTGTGAGAGTCCTCCCGGGAACCTATGAAGTCTGTCTCTCCACAGAGCATAGAGGCTCAATGGAGGAGAGTCCAGCAGTGGGGCAGGACCAGGGAGGGGCCTCCTCTAAGAAGCCTCCATGTCCTCAACTTTGCATCAGACACCTTTTTAGGTTTCGAGTGTTCTAACATTCTAGGCTTTCCCTAAAATCTCTCCATGGGCTCTTAGTACTGAGACAGTGCTGGGCCCTGGGGGAGTCCTGGAGGCCCAGCTTGGCTCAGTGTGGGGAGTCAGGGCAGCCCCATAGGGGGAGGGTCTGCCCTGGGGAAGGAAGGATGAGATTCCTGTCCATGGGGCGGGCAGGTATAAGCAGGGGCTGGGCAATCTGGTTAGGGAGGCAGCCGGTGAGACTCCTGTCCTAGCAGGAAAGTTGGTGGCAAAGTCTCTGAAGTTTGTTCAGTCTGTAGCTTCCGTGGAGGGGCCAGAGAAGGACATGCCTTTGCCCCTGCCTTCAGGCAAGGGGAGGTTTTGAACTCCAGAGTGCGCCCCCTGGTGGCCTGGGCAGTGGGAAGGTGTGAGATGAGACCATCCAGCTGGAGGCAGAGAGCTCCCCTTCCTTGGGGGAATGCGAGAGAAATCTGTCTTCCTGGAGATTGGGGGTTGGAAGGCAGGGGAACTGGCCATGAGGGTGCTCTGGTGGAGAGGGGAGTGCAAAGGCTAGGGCTGGGCCACTCTGCAAAGGTTTTGCTGGTTCAGCACTGGTGGGGAGGAAGCAGACAGCAGGCGGGCAGACAGGAGGCAGCTTCCTTTGTGCTGAGTCGTGGGGAGTCTAGGGTGGGAGGCTGCGGGCTGGGGGCTCAGACTTTGACTCTGAGTGAGGCAGTGTGGAGGCTTCCTAGGGCTGGGGGCTAGGCAGGAATTAGGGTAGGAGAGGAGAGGAGAGGGGCAGGCAGCCCAGTATTGCATCCTTCCAAAGCCAGAGAGAATGCAGAGCTATCTTAAAACTTCAAGTGGGATGGGGCTTGGGGGCTAGATGGAGAGAACTAATGTTTACAGAGTGCCCTTTGTATTCTGGTGGGGGGGAGGTTCCAGGATCCTCTGTGGACACAAACTCCAAGAAAGCCCAAGTCCCTTATCATTTGAGTTGCTCAGTTGTGTCCGACGCTTTGCG